ACTGGCCCAAGTTGGCACCATCATTGCGCTCTTCCCAGGTGAGGCAGATCAGTCGCCGGCTTCTGGACGGCCGCTCACTGCGGCTGCTGGCCGCTCATGCTGGCTGCTGGCTACATACGGTAGCCCATGGCAACCCACTGCCACAGGGGCTGCAGCCTACGCCGTCGCCGGCGACTCACGGCAGCCCAGCTCCAGGTTGAGCTGTTGTTCAGCATCTTAGCTGTGGAGGGCAGTGTCACTGGCCCTCATGTGGGATCTGAACCGGGGCCCTCTGGCATCCCAAGCCAGCTCTTAACCAATGTGCCACTTGGCCGGCACGCTTTTTTTGTTGTTGTTGTTGTTGTTGTTGTTGTTTTAAACAACATTATTTTATTTATTCTTTATTACAGTAAAATATACATAACATAAGATTTATTATTTCAGCCATTTTTAAGTGTAAAGTTCACTGGCATTAAGTACATTTAGATTGTTGTTAAATCATCACTGTTCACTCCAGAACTTTTGTCATCTTCCTAACGTTATTTTATTTTTATGTAGCCAAACTTACCTATTTTGTCTCTTTTCTTCTGGATTTCTTGTATTGTTTTTTTTAGGATGCTCTCTCCCATCCTAAGGTCATACAAAGATTCACCTAAAATTTTCCCAGTATTTATGTTATCTTTTTTAGACATTTTAACATATCTGAAATTTATTTTTGTATATGGAGTGGTGACTATGATTCTAATTTTCCTGATGGATAGCCAGTTTTCCCAGAATCATTATTAAAGAAAGCACATTCTTTTCAACTATCTTTACCATATGTTAATTTCCCTTAAATAGTTGGATCTGATTCTAGATTCCATACTGCTTCCGTTTGTTTATTTCTATATCAATGGCCTGTTGGCCTACCGATGATGAGGATGAAGGAGAGGAGAAGGAGAATGACAGGCACTTTATTGAAAATTTTATCATCTGGTCAAGCAAGTTGCCCCCACTAGTGTTTTCTTGGCGATTTTTAGACAGCTATAGTTGTGTATGAACCTAAGTCATTTTATCTAATTCTAAAAAAAATTCCATGTGGATTCTGATTGGAATTTCATTACATCTACATATTTTTAGAAGAATTGACCTTTTTATGAATTCTTTAGTGGAATCATTTTGTCGTGACCACACCTGTACTTCCAAAGTCCTTAAATGGGGTAAAGGTGAACTTCAGAAGTTTTATTGTGAATCAAAAGCAAAACTCGGTATTGCTGCCATTAACTCTTACAGTAAGTTGTATTGTATGATTTAGTTGAGAGCATTCATCCTGGTGAGAAGGAAGAATGAAAGGAAATGTGAAAAGCCTTGATTCTTTCTCTGCTTCTTAGTTTGGACAAGGTCTCAACCTTGCTCAGTTTCAAGCCCTTGAGAGTATTATAATATTCCGGGAATCTTTGGGAAGTACCCAGGATTAATTATTATGAAACAGGGGCGGAGGTACATCACTTTTCTCCATTCTGGGTGAATGTTAATTGACAAAAGACTCCTGCAAAGGTGTCTATGTAACTAAGACCTAGCATCAAGTTCAAAAATTATTTTTTTAGAAACAAACCCAAAACATTTTACTAAGGCAGCTCCCACTTTCTAAACTTTAATCTCTGTTCTTTTGTTATTTAGGGAGAAGAATGATGTGAAGGAAAACAGGCTATGACCATTGAGAAAATGATCTGCTGTCTTTTTCTAAAGCATAGACAGGATAAATATCCCTCACTCTCCCTACAAAGAGACCAGAGAATCCTTGACACTGAAGGATAGGAGAGACCACAGATGTAACAGTCTGTACACTGGTCAATCTGGAGCATGTGACCACTGAAGACCCCCTAGAGTAGAGGTTACAAACCCAATACAGGAACCAGGCAGGTGTGGGAAAAATGATTCACTTCCACAAATGAATACACCTTTTCTCCCTAGCTTTATTGAAATATAACTGGCACATAATATTGTGTAAGTTTATAGTGTGAAACATGTTGATTCGATACCTTTATAAATTGCAAGATACCACCATAGTATTAGCTACTACCTCCATCCTGTCACATAGTTACCATTTCTTTTTTGTGGTGAGAACATATAAGATCTACTCTCTTAGCAACATTCAAGTATATGATACAGTATTATTAGTTATAATCACCATGTTGTGATTATACCCCCAAATTGTTAAACTTTTAACTGGGAGTTTGTACCCTTTGAGCAGTACCTCCCCAGTTTCTTCACACACCTCAACCCCTGGTGACCACCACTCTACTCTATTTTATTTTGAGTTTGTTCTTTTTGGATTCTACCTATAAGTGCTATATAGTATTTGCTTTTTTTCTGTCTGCTTATTTCACTTAGCATAATGCTCTCAACGTCCATCCAGGCTGTCACAAACGGCAGGATTTCCTTCTTTCTCGTGGCTGAATAATATTCCATTGATAATACATTTTTTCTTATTTGTCTTGAAATATTCAGTCATTTCTGTTGCTTGTATGTTTTCCTATTCTTGATAGAAACACGGGTACATTGAATATCTTACTTTTCACTCTTAATATAAGAAAATTAATAATGCAAGAGTGATGATCAAGGCCAGCTGTCACTTGGCCTTAGTGTCAGGCAGTGGTAGGGAGCGGTGGGGACTGTGGTGAACTAAAGCACACAGGCTTTATCTAAAGCGAACAGCTGCTTCTCAGCCCCAGCTTACTGATGCCACAGAGACCGCAGGCCCGGCCGGCATTGCTAGATTTCTAGCATTTTCAAGAGAATCTTGATGACCAGGTTTTTAAAGTAACATTTTCTGATCTGAAATGTTGCCAACTAGTACAAAAAATGCTGTGGGCTAAGCAGGCCAAACATTTAACCTTAGAGGATGTAGGGGCCTAAGCCCATCACCATGGATGGGTGGGCAGTGAGGACATAGGGCTGATGACGAGAAGTAGGACGCTGTCCAGTGTTCTCAGCTCTACAGGGGAGCCAAGTCGGGCTCAGGTTAAATTCAGCTGACAAAAATGGAGTCCTTTTCTTCATGTAAGACAAAATGTTTCACTTCACAGTGTAATCGGAAATACCAGTATTTAAAACACAGAGAGAAAATAAAAGGGAGACCAAAGTAAAACAGCAGTGGCAAAGGCGGAAACTTTATACATGAGAAGCTGCATCTGAGCCTGAGTGGCCCCGGCTTCTAGATATAGCATAATCAAAGGATGTGGTGACTGGCCTGGTAACCACTGAGATCCCCCAGATTGGGCCAGCCCAGTTCAGAATGCTGAGGAGTAGCACCAGGCACGAGGCTTTGGCTTCACATACTGATAAAGAGGAAGGGGCTATAATGAGCCCTGAGCTGCATCTTTGTAGTGTATGTGGTAATTTAGTCTGTTCTATTGAGATGATTTGTATGTATAATAAAAGTATTAAGTAAACTTGTGAACATCCATCCTTCCTGTTGCTTGGTTCTCCTCATCTAATTCCTCTGTATGTCCTTAAAGAAGTCCATTCAGTATCGAAGTAGAAACATCCAAACCCTCCCGAATGCAAACATTCACAATATTGGAGTTATGATGGAAACCTCTAGGCTGCGGATTGCACACTGGTTTTAGGACCCGAGGTGTCCCTCTGAGTTCTGCCCCTAAGGCCAGAGAGGAGTCAACAGAGAGAGAGAGGTACTGTGTTTTGAGGTGCTAAATCCACAGGACCTTGCTGCTGGTCTCACCACTGCACTGACACTGCTTCCAGGGAGGCCACACGCCCCTGCCTGGGGAAGCCTGCTCGGTACCTCCCCACAGCATCCATCGCCTCAGGCCGCTTCCTTCTTCCGGGAGATGCCCATGACATCATGGCATCAAGCTCTGTTGTCTTCTCTCTTATCTTGGGGGACCTTCTTCCCTTTCTCCTCATCCAGTACACGTCTGGGTGCTGGGTTCCTTGGGCCTCTTCTCTTCTCACTCGCTCTTCTGGGCAATCGCATGTATCCATGGCTTTGTTTACACTCATGCTGACTCCTCGCTTCTACCTTCAGCTCACACTTCAGCCAGCCTGACTACCCCACTTTGGTATCTGAGTGCTCGCCAACCCGATATGCCCAAAACAGTACTTTCTTCCCCCTAAAACCTGCTCCTCGTCTCATTGATGGCCCCACTGTCTGCCCCCTTATACAGACCTTTGGTCAGTCCTGACACCTCCCTCTCCTTCACCCCCCATCTCCAGTCCATCACCGCATCCTGACTGTGCTGATAACAAAGTATATCTCCAAGCAGGGCCCATCTCACCACTCCCTCGCCTTCGCCGGGGCCCATGTTCCAGATACACACCTTCTGGCACATCAGATTGGAGAATCTTCCTCCTTTTTGTGCTTCAAAGTGTTTTATCCACCTAGGAAACATGATTTGCTCATTCATTCATAAATAATTATCAAATGCCTATCATGTATGAGGCCCCATGCTGGGGTACACCATCATTCTGAGTGAACAAGAGAACACGTACCCTGATATCATGGCTCTTACAGTCTATTGAAAGTATCTATTATATCTATTGACAGTAGAGGATATTAAACAAGCAACTGAACAGTAATTACTAAGTGATCCTTACTTTGTATTCTAAAGAATTTTGAAGGACACATACTTCAGGAAGGGGGGCTATGAGACATCCAGGGTCACTGAACCAATCTGGGGACATCAGGGAAGCCCTCCATAGGAAGGGGCATTTCATCTGAGCCTTAAAGGATCAGTTTCTATTAACTACCCGCCCCTCCCCCTTTCATTCTCTTTTCTTTTCCAGCCTTCTCATATCTCTCTTTGCCTTCACCAACCACCTGGGTTATAATCACTTCTCACTTACAAGCTGATAACAAACAGCTCATAGAGAGAAGTAAGACAATACTGTTTACCGCCTCCTTCAAACCAAGACAAGAAATTTCCTAAAGGACAAACAGCTTTCTTTTTCCTGGATCAAAACTAGAGAAAACGGTCTTTTGCAACTCACGTCTAGCACCTGACTTTTTCTGTTTTCAGCAACTCAAGCATCCCAACCTCGTCAACCTTATTGAAGTCTTCCGGAGGAAGCGGAAGCTCCACCTGGTGTTCGAGTACTGCGACCACACGGTTCTCCACGAGTTGGACAGATACCAGAGGGGGTGAGTGATCCATCCCTCACAAACAAAACACAAGGAAACACACTGGGACGTGTACGGGAACATTAGCAATGGCTCTTTTTCAGATTAGGTGAGAACAGCCAGTGTTTGGACAGCACACCCTGCTGCTGGGGTTGACAGAGGAGGAGTTAATGAAAATGTTGGGGAAGAGATCATAAGGAATCATTTGCATGAAGAAAGCAGCAGCAGCATTATTAGGTTGAACTTGATTTCTTTTTTGTTTTGTTTTAAAGATTTTATTGGGGAATCGGGGAAGGGGAACAGACAAGTTGCTGTCGTATTTTTCTTCAGTCTAGTTGTGGAGGACGTCGCTGCAGCCCACGCCGTCGCCGGCGACTCATGGCAGCCCAGCTCCAGGTCGAGCTGTTGTTCACCATCTTAGCTGTGGAGGGCAGTGTCACTGGTCCCCATGTGGGATCTGAACCGGGGCCCTGCTGCTCAGAGCTGGCGTCCCAAGCCAGCTCTTAACCAACGCGCCACTCGGCCAGCCCTGAACTTGATTTCTTTGGTACATTATCTCTGCCTAGATGTTGACTCTCTAAGAAAGAAAAGGAAGGATGTTAGTTATTCTGTGCCTGACCAGGAAAAGGTAAGGGCATGGAAGTTGAAAGGCAGAACCCAAAGACAATGGCTAATAGGAAGTTTACAGCTAAAACGAACATGTGGTTTCATCTGAAGCAATCCGGGTGTCTGGTCCGCTGTTTGGTCAGGACTTCTTTGGTTACAAGTGACAGAAACTCAGCGAAGCAAGTGTGGGTGAAAAAGGAATGTTGTGGCTATAACTAGGAAGGCTTGAGGGTGACTCTAAAGCCTCCTGAGCTTATCGCACATCTCTCTCTAGCCATGCAACTCTTGTGTGTGCATTAGAAGAAGGCTTAGTGAGCAGACAGAGCCTTTGTTTGAAAAAAAGGGGGGGGGTGTCATGTTCTCTGGTTAAGAGTAGCCCCTCTTCATAGCCAGAGTGAGCAGAATACAGGCTGGATTTTGACTCCCACCCACTGCTCAGCTGGTTGTCTTAAATAGAGCACTGCAGGTGGTGGCTGTTCTCTCTCTCTCAACTCTTCTTTGTGTTGGCTTCATTCTGCCTTGCAAATGAGTCTCCCTTATAAGGTAGATTTTGGAGGTGTGTGTGTGTGTGTGTGTGTGTGTGTGTGTGTGTGTGTGTGTGTATGTGGTATAGGATGGAAGGAGTTAGGAAGGGAAAAATATGATAGAAAGCATGGCTACAAGCTTTTTTTTTATTAAATTATTTTTTATTATGAAATACACATTTTTTAGAATTAGTTTCAGCTGTACAACACAGTGCAATAGTTATACTTTTTACCCCTCGAAGTGACAACCCCTCTCCCCCAATCCACCGCCCCATTTCCCCCAAATATCATACATATCTATTACAAATCCCCCGACTCCACTCCCACACTACACTCCACGCCCCATGACCATGCACATATACATATATATATTCAATCATAGTTGACATACAACACTACACAACATCAGCCTCAGGTGCACAGCGCAGCGATCAAGCCTCCCCCCCCCATCAAGCTTTTATCAACCTATGTAGCCATTGTAGAAGAAAGGAAGTTCCAGGAGAAGGTAGCATCTGCATATAAAGTCCGGTGGGCACTCTGATTGGCTCAGCTCATGTGATGCAACTATCCCTGAGACCAATCAGTGTGACCAGAAGGAGAGGGTAGAATGATCAGCAGATGCTGGGAGATATAATTCAAAGCAGGTCAGTCAAGGAAGACTTTGTGGAGGAGGTAGCCTTTGAGTTGAGAGGTAAGGAGATTTAAGAGAAGTTGATCAGGGAAAGATATCCCATCCTCCCCTTTTGCTCTGCTCCTGGGAACCCAACTTTGGCTGGGGACAAAATGCAGAGTGCATTGTACAATAGATCAGAGTGGTGGAATGACACCCCATCCCGGCTCACATTCACACTTAGTAGTTGGAGGCTGAGGCTCTTTCAACAGTGCTTGCAAGCCTTGGCTAAGAGCTTGCTCTGCCATAGAATGGTGGTTATATATGATCTACTGTGACCTCCAGGCAAATGGGATTAAAGTGGCTTGAGGTTTGTTAGTGACCGTGGCATAGGTTTTCGTGTTAATTTACACAACCAGAGTCAAGAAACAGACACCTCCCTTCAGCAAGTTACTGATACAGGGAAATGATGTGTTCGAGAGAGAAAGCCTTTAGTATGTTGATATTTGCTCTTTTGACAGCTTGCAAGTGACACTTCAATTAAAATTACTATAAGTTACTTGTGGCTATATGCTACAAGAGCGGTGTTGCGGGGAGTTTAGTTAATCATGTTAGATTGAGTCAATTGGAAACTGATAAGTGGGGGATTGAAAGCAATTGGGAGTCAGTTCTTTTTCAGCATATAGTTTGAGCAGAAGAAAAAAAGGACAGGACAAGGAGTGATTAGAGTTTTGAAAGCAGATTTTTTTTTTAACTCCAGTGGCTAAGAATATGTTATATATGTTCCAGGAAATAAAAAATGCTTTAATATGGAGGTGGATTACAGAAGGGCAAGATCAGAAGATATGTGTGGTTAAGTACAAGCAATTTTATTTCCACATGGTAACATGCAATGGTTTAAATACAAGCTTGGCTTAAGGAACGCTAATAAATGAGCAAGTTTGAAAATTAATTTTATTCTAAGGCAGGTCATATCCATTTATTTTGAAGTTTAAGGATTTTGTTTGTTTTAAAATAAAAGTCATAGGGCCCGCCGAGTGGCTCAGTTGGTTAAGAGTTTGCTTAAGAGCACGAGCTCTGAGCAACAGGATCACTGGTTCGATTCCCACATGGGCCAGTGAGCTTCGCCCAAACTGCACCCGAGCTGAGCTGCCAACAGGTGGCAGGATGGCTCAGCTGGTGAGAGCAAGTGCTCCTAATGACAAGATTGCCTATTCGATGGTGGGCTACGCCCGCCTGCGGCCAGAGGACTGAACTCGGCAACTTGAGCTGAGCTGCCATCCAGATGACTCAGTGGATAGAGCGTGCACTCAAGGTTGCCGGTTTGACTCCCACATGGAAAAAAAAAAGTCATTTTTTTATTATACTATTTAGCAATTCTCCAACCTATTTTAAATTCTATTTCATATTTTTGCTTGTCATCATTAAAAAGTAAATATTAAACTGTGTTAACCAAAGATTTTGAAATTCATAGGAAGACCTTTTTTTTTTCAATTTAGAGATCTCATACTATAAAACTTTGAAAGTACATTGAAGGAAAAGTGGATCATAATCATCTGTGTGACATTTGGCAAGTTGCTTACAGGTGTCCTCACCGTAAAAATGAGAGTTTAGTACCAGATAAAGTTGAAGAGAACTTCCAAATCTATAATGCTATGAACTGAGGATCTAATATCCTAGAAGTCAGAAGACTGGTTTTTGTTTTAGTTTCATATTTGATCTGTGAAGATCAACAAAGGATAACATGCTCATGCTGTTGTTTTCCCTGTCTGGTGCCAGGTTGGG